CAAATGGAAAAACAATCCTGCAAATTACGATAATAATAAAGGAACTGCGTGTGCAGAAAGTGTTGCTCAATTGACAAACATGGTGATGACTCAGCCTAGATGAAGCCTCTACCTAGGGTCTTGCAGCCCCTTTTAACAAGGTAAAGAATGGAACTTCCATTTTCAATTAGCTAGTCGCTTACTATGTGTTTATAAATGTTAGTTTCATTATTGCCTTCATTATATCTTGGAAATGTTTGGTGACAGTTGGGAGCCATAGGGTCGTGGGAAGTTGACTGGAGGAACTTCGAAAGGTCTTGGTTAGAGGAACCTGTATGTTTCTTATTAATGTTAACGGTCCTATTGATTCCCTTGGCCAAGTGTTGTCCCCAAGGGCCAACCAAGTGTGGAAAGAAGGACAGATCATATCCTATTACTGAAGGAATGTTTGCTTTAAAAGTAAAGACATTAGTTTGGATTGATTTTGATTATTAATTTATGCAGTTAGAGGACAAATCAGCATCGCCATGTTCCATCTATTTATTTGCATGTTGGTTAATTAATTCTCTTACTACATTTGAAATTTTAAAATGCTATAACGGTAATTTTTATTCTAGCATAACCATTTTGGGGTGGTCGATATATGATTTACATCAAGTTACAAAATACTCATCAAGCTATCAAGTTTTGTAACATCTGATTGTTCCATACAATTATGTTTGAGATGTAAAGGTCTGATTTTTACAAAGTTGAAATCAAGGTTATCCAAATTCGAAAGTTTGCGTAAACTCGTGAGAGTCAAGTAAACTCGATTCGGAAACTCGACTCGTAGGAGTTTACAGATGAAAAAAAATTATATAAATACGTTTACAAAATTATATAATTTTAAATAAATAAATCTATAGTTATAGGTTCATAAAATAAATATTGTAAAACATAAAATATTTGCATATTGTCAATTAATTTTGATGCATTTCATTAAATATATAACTTTCAAGTTCGCAGAATTGTTCTAAACTCGCGATTCTACATGATTTTACCGATTTCAGAGTCGATTTTACCGAGTTTATGCAGAAAACGAGTTTACTTTCGAATTAATCGGAAGCCATGTCTGAAAACGTAAACTCGTATATGAGTTTACGAGTTAACTCGAGAGTTTAATAACCATGATTGAAATTATGACAAAATTATTTAAGTAAAGGCTAAAACCATATATAACCCTGCGACCATTACCCCCCTCAGAATTTTGTTAATTCTAAAGCACATCAATTCAAGTCTCTCATGATTCAGTGCCTAGTCGTATATTCTTTCTAGCCTTCAAATAACAGTCAGAGTATAAATCAATTTTTGGAGCAATTTTCTTACTAACATCAATCCCTTTAACAATTAATGTTCTTAATTTCACGTCATTGTGATTTTAGCAAAAGGGAGAAAAAAGGTTTACGAGCCCCTGCCACTTCTCATTTCATGTTTGCACAAAACGTTATAGTAGCAATTTTTTGCACCAAAACAAAGAAAAAGACCTGAAAATTAAAAAGTCTTACGCGAAGAAAAAAAACTTGGACATCAAATAAGACCTGGGACAAACAACAAGACCTCAAAAGACAAGACATTTAATCGAAGAACCAAGTATCAGTAAGCTTCACCGCCAATCGAGTTGTTAAACTCTGGTCCTGCTCCAAGAATGAGGAGTTGTGTGCCCAAAGGGGAGCGAAAGGGGTTCACGCTTACCAATCTCTATTTGAGGTGATGCATCTCTGAAATTGGGCATGATAGTGCTCGGAATATGGTCAAACTCAAGCATGAAGAAACACAACAATTGAAGGAACACACCATTAATTGGAACCAATCAGGTACAGGCCAATAGTGCCTTGGTGCGTATGCATATCTTGTATATATTCTTCCCATTCTCCCATATTCTTCAGTTTTCGACATAAATGTTTCAATTTTTTTAAATTAACATTGAAACTAAATGATTTTTGGATACCATGAAATTAAGAACTTCGTAAATTGCGTTTGCGTATTTCCTATTTGCAGTTACAATGTTGCATCATATTTTTGGACAGTTCATTCAAAAGTTCTACAACTCAATTTAAAAATCATCCCAACCACACAAGGAGGGGCTCAAGTGATAATCAGTACGAGAAACATACAACAAAACTGATATGGCTTGAAATCCATGGAAACTGCTACTGAACCAGATTGAAGTTGGCGTCCTATCCTATCCATGAGTGAGAAATGTAAGGAGCTAGCTCAAAATCACCACGTACGTATTGGGAGTCTTTCTATTTACCAATACAGAAACACTTGCCAAATATATGTGAAAACCTCCTCCTGATAATTTTCTCCAATAGTTTGTCCAAGGGAAATGCAGCATCCCTCAAATCAATTGTCCAAAAATCAAGAGGCCGTTCCTCCTTTATTGATGATTGTAACCTTGCAAGTGCGTCCTTGGTCCGAAAAAGTTGTTACATTGTATCTGCACCAACATCGTTTATATCAGCAAACACAATACATAGTCAAGCCTCCCCCCAAAGAGAAGAAGCTTATTTTACTACTCTTTTTGAGTATGTGGGTGCATGTGCAAGAATGTTGTCATGTAACAGAAGATCAACACTAGAGCCATGCTTGGTTGGGTGACAAATGGCAAATGGTAGAAAAAGCAAAGTCTTGTTGAGTCCCAGCAATTATCGTATTTACCATAAACCATTTTTTTTCTTCTTAGTAAGCATATTTTGACCATTACTCCTGTCAAATTACCAAATAAAAGATACGATGGTCTCTAAGAGTCATTCGTTCCTTATTTCACATCAAAGAAGGTTAAGAAAACTTTAAAAGACTCCCTACTAATTTTTAAGAAAGATGGAAAGCCAAAATGATAGTTACTGATTGACAGTCCATCTGCTACCCCCAGCGGAATGCCTTCAAGACCCACAATCTGTAAATTACCGCCCTCTCTAAGTCTCGTAATCCTGACCAGTAACAGCCACATGTAAAACACATGTTTGCTGAAACATTTTATGGACTCTGGAATCATTTGTACCCATTCAGTCTCAAGACACAAGGTTTACAATTATCTTGTGACCACAAGGATTACCGGGGGGTGGATGATGCAGTTGATCTCTGTCTTACAACAAAGGTTAAGTAAAGATGCAGACTAATATGAAATGCATCTTTTCTTTTCTCACCGCATGACAGAAAATAATAACAGGTACCAAGCTTAATACTAAAAGAAAAATGAAAGGTGTAATGCAATATTTATTATGTTTAAGAACAATATCCTGCAGAATGTAATTTTTAGAGATAACTACAGGATCTAAATGGTCTTATGTAATTGATCCCACCTAGCAGAAAAAAGTATTTTACCATGTTGACTATAGGATACCAACGCATTTAAGGCCAGCCAGGTGTCTGTATGCAGAATTATCATGTCATATGATATTAAGATATGTTTGTCGGTTAACATATTATAGTTCCGATGCTTCCCAGTAGCATAGATATCTGATACTACGTTTCTCCAAATGTAAATGATCGACTATTCTCCTTCAAATAAAATGTTTACGCTGCTATCTATATCAAAATAGTAATTAGATATAATGAATAAAACAAAGGAGAGAGGAGGAAAAAAATTATATGGTCAAACCTTGGTAGATTGAATCCTTTCGAGAAGTTTGGTGTCTTCCGATGTCCACCCTTCAACAGCACTCACTGTCATGATAATTACATCAGCACCCCTAGCAACTGCTTCAGACCGCTCTACGCCTAGTAGGAGAATAGAAATATAATTCCAGTACATCATGTGAAGTAATGATGTTAAGGTAAGTAGCATAACACTAGACGCATGCGAAAAAAGACATATAATCCAACTATATAGCTAAGTCATCAGGCAAAGTCTATAGCCGTATTCTATCTAATTTTCACTAGATTTTATTAGTGTTGCATTAAAATACACTTCTAAGCAAGCAATAATATTAGAAAGCTTGTATAAATTACTTTGAGCTGACTATATTTACACTTATCCAAAAAAAAAAGAAGAGGACTACAAAACAAAGGAAAATTACAGATATCCTGAACTAAGGAGAAAAAGAAAAGAAAGCGCACCAATCTTTTCCACAATGTCATCAGTTTCCTGATGCTGCTGTATCAAGAAGGGTGTAGGAATACACTGACACTGATGCTTGCTTCATCCATCACGAGTGGTTCCAGCCAATTTCATGTAACTAGTGCCCTCTCACTCTGCATGCTACAAAGAAGATCAGCCACAATAAGTTATAACAATAACAATGCTTTACCAACACGACATTACAACATTACTACATATACATATTTATTAGTGGAGTTCTCCGTTAAAGATAAATTATGGACTTGAGACGCAGATTAAGTACAAAAATACTTCGAGGAATGATTTAAGTTGGCCAACCCAAGGTTGACATCTAATGAAGAGATTCAACAATAAATACAAATTTAAGTTTTCGATAACAAAATGACAATGACATACTTTGGCTCCATGCATTCAGAAGGCTTGACTTGCCCAACATTCGGACGGCCAACAATAGCTATCTGGAAAGAATTCATATTAGGATAAAAAATCAGGAACAGCAACAGTCATCCTCATATTCACATAGAAATGAGAAGTGACAAATTATGTTGTATCCAAAGTAATTTAAGCCTAATCAACTTTCTTAGAACCAGCTGGTCAAGTGAGGATTGTCCCACTTATATAATTTTGTTCATTTCTTAAAAGTTTATGTGAAATTTCCAGCACACTTTTATGCCAAAAAATTTGACATCTCAAGTGTTGCAATAAATATATTGAGTGAACCAATAGCAATGTAACAGAATAGGTCTAATAAACTTTATTAGGATACATTTGTTTCCCTTATAAAACTATGCATCTAAAACATAACATGTGATGGGGCTCTTTTGACCCCCCTAACTCCTTACTTGACTACAAAGGGTTGTATAGGTTTGAGTTAGGGTCAAAACCCCCTATTGTCCCCTCGACACCCTAGAGAAAGAACAACTTTGTAGTGTACCTAATATCAGCATATTATGCGATTGTGTTCCAACCCAGAAAAAAAATCAGAAAACTCTTAAGGAATCTGAATACACCTGTTTCCACACCACATACCGTAATCCAGACTGCGAAAGAAGCTTGTTTGTTCGGTTGTGGGTGGGGTGGGTTGGTTGAGGGGGGGTGGGGGTGGGGTGGGGGAGGGGTGGGGGTGGGTGTGGGGGTGGTTGGGGGCTGGGGGTGCTTCCCAATTGCATTATCAACGTCTCGTGGAAATGTCATGGATTTTTATCCAAAAAATAAAAACCCAAATTAAATCGAGGAGGCGGCAATCTCATCATCGAAGTCTAAACGTGTTCAATCTCAGTAAGCAACTCAATGCACTGACTCCGCAAAGATCGGAACAAGAGAAGAAAAGCCACCCTGTCAACAGACGCAACCAGCCAAGTCTTACACCAAACATGATGACGATGATACAGTAAAACACGGAAACAGCGTCGAGTTAAACATACCTGAATTCCTTGCAGTGCAGCATCCGCAGCAGCCACAGATTTGGCGGCGATTAATCTTGCAACATTTTCGGCTTGTGAAAGGTCCAAACTCCCGTTAAGAAAAGCGGAAGAGTAAACTCGCCTACCCCCACAAAGAAGTAGACACTAATGAGCAATTGGATTGGTTGTCGATGCGAGGGTTAAAAAGAGAATTAAGTTATCCGGTACAGGAGAACTGAGGACCACTGGTTGAGCAAGCGTTGCTCCGGCTCCGAAACAAGTCCTTAGACGCGGGAGACGAGACACACATTATCGCCCGTGCATGAAGCTCACCACATCTTCTCGCGACGTGTACGGACCTCGGAGGCAGCATCGGCACCACCCAGGACCTCGTCGTGACGTTGCCATCGGAGTCCAAGACGACACCGTATTCGACGAGTGGGTGGTGGCCGCCACGAGTTCCGGGCGGGCCGGAACATCCAGACCCGCAATAGACACTGCTTCAGGGCCGAAGCCAAACGATTCCAACAGCCGCAGGTGGCCCCCCAGAGCCAAGGGTAGAGTTACGATGGCCGCAATGTGGTCCCACTCCAACAACCTCGTCGACACACTCTCCCGCTGTCAACCGCTCGTCTTTCTTCACTACTAACTTGTAACTGTCTGAACCTGCTCGGTATTTAACGGTTCTAGAGGTTTTGGAGGGAATAAGATAGTGCCACGTGACGCCACAACTCAAACGCAATGCCATAGGAAGGCGCGGCGGGTGGAGCGAGGTGGGCACGTGTTAATGTGAAGGAGCACAGTGCGGAAGAACCCATTGATCAGTTTCAGTTTCTGTTCGGCTGAAGCTTACTCTTCTCCATCTATCTATCGAGGCACCACCGCAACTTTCTCCCTCCATCTCCCCTTTAATATTTTATCCTTAAAGTAAAATTTTATTTTTAGCGTATTTTTTAATTTTACCCATTCACAACCTATTCCACTAAAAATTATCTAGTTCCCAAAGTAAAATATTTCTTTTATTTTAACATTTATTTCTCATCTCTTTCTTTTGTCGCGCGGGAGATAAACAAGTTGTAAAGGTGGTGGTGATGGAAAGAATTATCAAGCAGTCTCCCCTCGTGGTTGCAGTGTCGCGCTCGTGGTGCAGTGTGTGAAGTGGTACAGTGCGTGTGTTGCTTCTTAAGGTACGTATTGGAATAAACCTTCAAATAAAACCCTAAAATAAAAAACGTAACCTTTAAACGGAGGTGACATCCTTCAACGGATGTCAAAATCCTTCAAGGGATGTCAACATCCGTTTAAGGAAAGAACGGATCCGTTCTTTCCATAAACGGATGTTGACATCAGTTCTTTCCTTAAACGGACTCCGAGTTATGTTTTTAATTTTAGGATTTTTTTTATTAGTTTATTCTTTATTTTGTAAATATTTTAATAATTTAATTTAAATGTTTTGATTTATTATTTTTTAATATATTTTTAATGTATTTTAATAATGTAAGGAAAATGAAGAAGAAAGATTCGTATGATGAGAAGTGAAACGGAGAAGACAAATGGAGTTGTAAAGTAAAACAGATGACAAATTGTTAAACGTAATTGAGAGATTGAAAGATTGTGTGCAGGGATTAAAGTAGGAGAACTAGGTTTGGAATAAATTAAAATAATAAAAATAAAAAAATTTTAATTTGAGGATATAATTGGAATTAAAAAAAATTGGGGAGGTGGAGGAAGAAAGGTGTGGTGGTGGAGGAAGCAACACCCCTCAGTGTTATGGGTCAGCCCCAGAACATAACCTTCCAGAACCTCATAATTCTTCACCCAACCTCATAAAATTTCAAAATGATCATTTTACCCTCATAAAACTGAATTTCCAATTACAAGTTCCAAAAATTTTAGAAACAAGTTTTTCAAAATTTCCAAAATAAGGTTTCTGAAATATAATTTCCGAACAAGATTTTCAAAATGAAATTTCCAAAACTAATTCATGAAACATATGAAATGAATTACGGAACAAGTTTTTCTCAGTGAAATTTCTTGAAAAAATTATCATAATGCATATAAAGTTTTTTGAAATGAGTTTCCTAGAACACTCATGCATGAAATATTTTCTAGAAAAAGCTTTATGGAACACATTAAATATATTTGGAAGAACTCATCGGTGGTTATTTAGCTCTTTACCCAGGCTACCAAACTCATTACCTAGGTCGATTCTTGAGCTTTTTGTCCCTGAGGTTTAGATGTGAAAAACGTTGTATAAACACTTTTAATCTAATATTTGATTCACGACTAATGTTTAGGACGGTAGTTTAGCTTAGCACAAGCATGAAAAAACTATAAATGTAATGTTCGACCTTTGTAGAAAGAATTTTTGAATGTTGAGTCTTTGTTAAGAACACTTCAACTTTCAAACTTTTCAATGAGAACTTCTAAAATTTAAAAAAGTTTAGACATTTGTCTCATCATGGAATAAGTAAATTTGAGAATTCCATTTAATGGAAGCATGAAATCCTCAACTCTCACTTGAAGATCAATGCCTTGAATACACAAAAGAATATGGACGAAGTGGAACTAAAACACAATGGAAGAATTGAACATTGGTGATAAAACTTGTTTCAATTGTGGTGCATATGGTGTAGTTTGAACTAGGACATAATTCCTAGCTAGGGAGAGAGGCTATAGGAGGCTCTAAAACTCTCTCAGAATGACTCTCAAGAGAAAGGAAATGCTCTAGGTTGATCTCAATAGATGTCTCTACATTAATCTCAAAAGTGAAGTTTACGAAGAGTGGGATGTTGAATTTATAGGATATTCAGCCCCTGGTTCATGCCTACTTACAAGGTTGATCTGGCGTTGAGCGATAGATGGTTTCCGTTGGTGTAGGTCTGATAGCAAAGAACATATGAAGCTTTTGGACATGCTAACGTTGGGCGAGTTGTTGCCTCTACTAGGATCCTATTTTGGCTAGGCAAGCTCTAGCTTGCGGTGGGCACCTGACTACTCCATTTCCTTTGATTTCAAGCTTCATTGCTTCTTGTTGATAGACTTTGACACTCTATATGACCTTTGTTGAAATATTTTTCCTGTGACAGGTTTTTGGCTTGACCCTATTCCACCATCCCCTCCTTCCTCTTGAGAAGGATTTGTCCTCAAATCTGGTGGGTTGTCTTTACTAAGGATATATGAATTTATTGTGGAAGAAGCTCCTCATATTCACCCCTCTTGGATCAAATATCTTTCTGCAATAAGCATCAAATATAATTTGTATTAGTTTTATTTTCATCAATAAGAAATATAGAAAGATATTTTTAGAAGAAATTCTTCTGATATTTTGATTTATGTTTATGACGAAAAGTGGAAGTCTTTCTTCATAAAAACTTTTATTTTTGTCTTGAGTTAATTATGACCACAAGGGTAACAATAATTCAAGATGTGAGTTGCCACATTTTGAGAAGTTTAACATATTAAAGGATGAAATGACAACTTTTTCAAAAGAGAAGTTAAAATTTGAAGACTTAATGATAATTGGAGAAAAGTTGAAGGATTGGAAACTTCCCCTTAAAATTCTTAGGTCAATTGCATTTGTGGAAGTGGAAGTTGCCCTTAATAGCATCTTCCCTCTCTTTTTCTCTTCTTTCAAACTCTTCTTTTTCTCTCTTTTTATTTTCTTCCCTTTCACTTCTTTCATTTTCTTCTTTCTCTTTATCTTTCTTCTCCAACTCTCTTGACTCTCCTTACTCCTTCTAATCTCTTTTTTTCTTTTCTCACTCAAAATTCTTTCAAGTTTCTCCTTAAACTCATCTTCCCTACAAAAGAAACCATTATACCTTTAATGAATGATTTTCCCTCTTTAAAGAGTTTTCCCATTAGTTTTTCACAAATGAAGGATGAACAAAATTTATTCACATACAAGCTTTTAATTCATTCCAATCATGAATGGGGATTTTTCTACCTCTCTTAACACTATCTTGACTTTCACTCCACCATTCACTTGCATTCCTTTCAAGCCTGGAAATACATATGCTAAGAATGTAGGATTTACTACTTCTAGCAAAGAATGGATGCAACTCTTCAACTTTCCTCTCCGAAGTTAAGTATGATATTGCACTTATATCCTCACAAAAGAAAGGAATATCTCTCTTAGCTTTATACTACAATTCATCCTTAATCCTATTTTCTTCTTGCCTTAGATGCAATTATTCTTTTCGCCTTAGATTGAGTTCTCTAAGCTCTCTAGAAATTTGTTTCAAAGCATTGGATTTCTCAAGAGCACTCATTCTAGGGTGAAATGGATTATTGGACATCTTTTAATTTCAAGATTGTATTCCAAATTCGGAAAGGCTTTAAGGATTCACCAAAAGACAATTCCTGGGTAAGAGAGATGAGTCATATACTGCTTAAGTATCAAGTTTTCCCTATCCATAATGTCTTAGGCTACTTTCTTGACCAATTTTCATAAGAGGTTAACTATTGAATTCAAAAGATGACTCATAGACAAGCAAAGATAAAACTAAAAACACTTAGACACCTACTTAGACTCTAGTGCATCAGGCCTTAAAGTTTAATCTCTTGTAGCCAAGTCACCCGTAAAGCCACTTATCATAGACAAAAATAAAAATAAGATAAAATCCTACGGTGACACTAACCTTCTTGTAGTAGCATGCTTTAGATAAGTGACAATTTTTATTGCAATAGAAGTAGGATATAGAAGAAGGTTTGCTAAGATCACTAAACTTCTTAGCATTGGTTTTATTACTTTTGCCTTTATACCCTATTCCTTGCTTATTGAACACACTTCTTTGGGAACCTAATAAAGCATCAAGGTTTGAACTGCCTAAAGTGAATTTTGATAGAGTACTCATCGGGTATTTAATTCTTTCTAGGTGAGCAGGACAATTCATGCATTCTTGAACCTTTCTTTTACTCTTTATTGCTTCCAGTTTTAGATTTTCAGATTCAGCTTCTTCAATGTGTCTTCTTGAAGTTGTTTTGTTTGTAGTCTTGAGGAAAATTTGTGTGTTTCAGTTTTCCCTCTTCTTCCTTCTTTAATCTGTCAAGCTCCAACTCATGTTCTCTTAATTTGTCAAAGAGTGTTGCCATGTTTATGGTTGTCAAATCTCTTCATTCTGATATAGTAGTAACCTTTGGCTACCAACTTCTGTTTAAACTCTTCAAGATCTTGATATTGATTTCCTCTTTGTCAAAAAATTTTCTAAGGGCAAGGAGTTGGTTAACAATATGAGTGAACCTCTTTTGTACATCATAGATAGTTTCACCACTCTTCATTTTGAACATCTCATATTCTTGAATGACAGAGTTCCTTCTTGCTTTCTTAACCTCATCCGTGCCTTCATGGGTGACTTCTAAAACATCCCACATTTCCTTTGTGGTTGAGCACATAGAGATCCTATAGAAGTCATCAATAGTGAATGCTGAGGAGATGATATTCTTAGCTCTAACATCCTAGTGAGCCTTTCGGTTTTCATCTGCGTTCCACTCAGAGAAGTCTTTAACTTTTGTCTTACCATTCTCTATTTTTGTTGGTTTGAAGGGACCATTGATAATAGCATCCCAAACGCCTTTGTCCACTGATTCCAAGAAAATTTTCATCCTTATTTTTCAAAAAGGGTAATTTTCACATACAAATAGTGGTGGCCTATTTGTGGATGCACCTTCTCCAAATGTCTGAGATATATTGGCCATCAGGAACATTTTAATCGATTAAACTGAGAAAGTAATCGATTAAAATTC